TTGTAGCATTTAGACCCACAGGGATATCGTTTATAAAGTAAAGAAATAAACTGGGTCCCAAAACTGACCCCTGGGGTACCCCGGAATGGACATCGACAAAATCAGACTTCTCCCCTTCAACTACTACTGTCTGAGTTCTACCGGTCAGGAAACTCTCGATCCAGTTTGCGACATTTCCACGTATACCATAATGTTTTAGTTTATGGTTTAGGAGAGAATGACTGACCTTGTCGAAAGCCTTAGCAAAGTCCATTATGAGGATATCTGTTTGGCGTCCCTCATCAAGATTCTTTGAGATGTCATCCACAAATTCAAGAAGTTGGGTTTCGCATGATCGCGATTTGCGAAAACCATGTTGGAACGGATACAATATGTTATGGGTATCGGCATGGGTCATGATAGTTGAGACCACAATGTGTTCCATAATTTTGCTACAGATACAGGTCAGAGATATGGGCCTGTAGTTTTCTGGGTGAAATTTTGGACCCTTTTTATAAGCAGGTGATACATTTGCAGATTTCCAGTCTGAAGGCACTATACCTGTTTCCAGAGACTGATTAAATATTAGGGTTAATATCGGGGCTATTTCTGTTGCAAGCTCTTTTAGTACTCTGTGTTTGATGTCATCAGGGCCCGAGGCCTTGTATGGATTTAGGCCTTGGAGCAGTTTTAAGACGCCCTTTTCATGTATAGAAATTTCAGGCATGGCAGGGTATTTATCGTGAGTAGACATGTTGCATCTAGTGCGAAACTGCTGGTCGGTAAAGATTTCAGGAGGAGTAAAAACAGGTTGAAATTGTGCGTTTAGCACCTGGGCCTTGGTGGTAGGGTCATAAACAAGTTTACCGTCCTTTTTCAGAGGATCTATGCCACTATGGTCTGATCGTTTGGATTTTATATATGAACAAAACCGTTTTTTGCAGGAAAATTTGTTTTCATTGGTTGTGTTTTCTGGGGTGATGATATTATCAATATGGCTCCAGTAAGATGTAAGGAGTTTTTTCTGCATATGATGTTTCAGGTTTTTATACTTATTTTTTATTTCAGTGTCTCCTGATTTTTTTGATCGTTTGTACAATCTATTTTTTCTCCTGATAAGTTTCTTTATGTCAGGGGTAACCCAAGGTAGGCTGGGTTTTGTCTTAACTATCTTGTGGGAGATATGTTCTTTTATGAGTTTAGACAATTCAATTTTTCAAACGTAACACACATTTTCTATACTTAATACTTTGCATCGAGTAGGGCAGTATTATATACCGCACACCTACACACGTATCCTACCTAGACGACCTGGATATGCAATCATCCGTAGGTTGTACACAACTTGTCATGTTACCCAACACTCATTATGAGACAGGACTTTTGTCAGGTATCGTGGATACGGTATTTATATCACTGTGTATTGTCTGATATACATTTTTAACCGCGGTACATAACACGACATGAACAAGGTGTTTATAGCTACAAGCAAACTATCATACCATCTTCATGTACTTCTAAATATAGACTTTGCGTATACCCGATCAGAAAAATATTTCTTTTCTTTAATTCATCTTGCTTCCGCTACCTTTTTAATGCCATTTATAACACTGTTAGACACGTTACACCCTATTTTCATTACTCCTTCGTAATTTCTTCAGTTGACCTCCTTTATAACATTATTAAAGCATAATGATAATATACTTCTCCGGAATGCCTTTGATGATATTATATGATGAATATAATATTTTATGGCTTTGTCCACATACAGTAACTCTTTTATCCCTGAATCAATGCTGATATCAAAGCCCTTGGCCTCTCGGGCTGATATTGGATCTCGTGGATGTTTGCCTGAGCCTTCGCTTAAATATACAAGACCCAAGAAAGATTATTATTTCAGATATAAGTATTCATATACGTTGTGCAATTCTCAAACTGTATTTAGCTATTTTCTCAATAAAATATTGTAGTCTTTGATAAGAGGAGTATGGAAATAGTTACTTCCTGAAGCAATCACTGACTTGTTGTACTTATTTCTTTGAGTTATGTGCAGTTTAAGATCAGTTCTTATTTATTTAGTTTTTTAACATAACAGTCACATAAGTAACATAATTTCTCCACAAAGTTAAGGAAATGGAGCTGTATATGAATTACTCTTTATTTAATAGATAGAACGATTAAGAATGTTGCAATTAAAATAATGTACTAATAATATATCGGTTTTAATTTTACAGGCCTGCAACAAGTATGGCTTCAAGGAAGAAAAAAGACTACACAAAAGTGTTATCAATTACAGAGTGTAATATCTGCCATTTGGATCTTTCCGACCCTCGTCGGATAGAGTGTGGACACGTCTTCTGCCTCCATTGTCTAAGTCAACACGTAAGTTGTTCGTCTTCTTGTCCAACTTGTAAACGACCTATGAAGCCAAAATTAGGAACGGTCGAAAACTACCCTGTTGCTATGGAAATTGTACACCTGCTGCAGTCTCTTCAAAAAGTTGCAAGTTGCGGCCATATAGTAGATGAAGGAAGTTGTACTGAAGATAATGTAAAGGGTGAAGAAGATGCGAACGAATATGATGTAGTTGATTCTGACCCAGATCTGGGGGAGACTAAGACGTTACCTCAAAAATCAAAATCTGTCATGTCGAACGAAGTGTGCGATATACATGGACAAAGACTGGTTTCTGTTTGTACCACTTGTGATGATGAACTTATCTGCGCCAAATGCAGCATCCATTCTACCCACAATAAACAAGAGATATCTGAACATAATAGGCATCTCAAGCGACTACTCGAAAAACAAAGAGCTGATTTACTCCAACGGGGAAAAGATGACGGAGCAAAAGAAGAAATATTGCAGGAAATGATCGAAGAGCAAGTTCAACAAAAGGAAACCATTAAAGACGAGATAGAAGAAATTGCCGAGGAAATGTTCACACAAATTCATATGAAAAAGGAAGAAATGCTTTTACCTATTGAGGAAAAGGCAGACGAATACGTCAAACAACTGACGGAGAGGCAGGAGGATATCAAAGACAGGATATCTGTGTTCAGTCACATCAGCAACAGGATTGGAAAAATTTCACATGATGACACAACAGACTACAGCAGAAAAGCAAAAATATTGGTTAAACAAGCAAACATTGCACTCCAGATAGAATACAAACCTGTACCACGTTACCAGAACATTGAGTTCACCAAGAATGACAAAGTCCTAGAAGATCTGTTAAAACTTCAGTTAGGTGATGTAAAGGTAGATGAAGTATCAATAGCGCAGGACGAGGAGGGTAAAGCGTCCGATTTCATTTCTGATGAGGAGGAAGGATACAATGACTGTAATTGCACGGACGATGGCTCAGTCGTGCCTCCACCACCTCCTGTGAGACCAAAATATAATTATCCATTACCTACACATATGTCACAGTCATCTATGGATCCTCCACTTCCTCCACGACCTCAAAATCAATATCAAAATCAAAGTCCCCTAGCATCTAAAAACGAAGAGGAAATCTACTATGACCTTGGCGATTCCATATATGTCAATCCTATACGGAAACAAAAGCACGACACGGAACCTCCAGAACAGAAAGAACATAAACTGGACAGCCATTTCACTCCACCGCCATTATCTCCCTTTTCAGGAACATTTCGAAAATCGGTCTCTTTACCAATCGACAACCGTGCGTTTCAACAGAGATTGCTTCACCGTGTATTCCTCCCCTTTAGACCCTCGGGGTTCACGGTTGTCCGAGGTTCTATGGGACACTACTTTACATTTGTCACAGATGATTTCCACGTGAAAATGTTCAGAGAGACTGGAGACTTATATAGGACAATAACAGATGTCGTCCGAGCGTTTGATGCTGCAAGCCAACAACATGGAGAGGCATTGACGCCATTGTACATAACAGATGAAGGTAAAAGATAACAACTTTCTGGTCGGAATATTAATATGAAAAATATAATTTTGAAACAATAATCGAAATAAAACAAGTGTTGTTGTGTCATGGATATATACGACCAAACCAAAACACTAACACATTTTGTTGTTCGTCTGTAACAATTAATAATGATACTGATAGATAAACAAAATTTGAGCAAGCTAAGTCAGAAGTCAAAAGAATGCAAACATTCAAGGAAGTGAACTAAAATCGATACAATACAATTGGTTAAGATATATGAACTGGATAATGCAAGAAATGTGTCGCGTGAGAAGTCGAATAACAGGTGGATATTTAGTTTTACGATGTTGTAACATATACATTCTATTAATTCTGAATTGGAAAACAGGTTATGAGAATAATTAATGGTAATAAACAAGTAAAAACGGATATCGTTACATTAATTAGTCATTATTGTATATAACACAATGCAAAATTTCTGATTAAATAAATTTCTATGCATTTTATTGAACTGATAAATTATTTCATTTAAGGACGAAGGACAGGAGATGGAAGTGTCAAAGTGTATACGTCCGAGGGAGAATTCCAGAAAGTGTTGGTTGGAAAGCTTAAGAAACCACAAGGAATTTCAATATCACGAGTGGGACTTGTTTACGTATGTGACGAAGTAAATATCCTTGTGTTTTGTCCAAAAACGGGGAAAAGGAAGAGGATAATATCTACCATCGGGAAAGATCCAATTTTTGTACACCCATTGTATGTGATGGTGAGCGCCACTGGAAAGATCCTAGTCTCCGATGTGGGCACTAGGGAGCTCAAAATTCATGACGAAACCCGAAAGTACACCGACAAGTTCAAACCAGACGAGGACGAAGGGGAGCTTTACACAAGCTTTACTCCTGGAATGTGTGCCGAGGATTCTTCTTCGAATTATTACGTCATTGACCAAGAGAGAAACATACTTTATATATTGCGCGGTGGGGGGAGGTCAGAGAAGCTGGTGCTACCACAAAAACCTCAGGGGCACGATGGAATACCAACAACTGTTTCCTTTGCCAACGATACGGGCAACATTGTCGTGTTTTAGATAAACGGAAACAGGGTAATGTTTTGATAAAACAAACTTATGGCTGTACACACTCAAACAACGCAACACTACGTTAATCAACATTATACCACAACGTCGATCGTTAATTAACCTTTATGTAGTCCTGCTTTGTTATCAACCAAACACTTGTTGGATGAACTAGATAGAAGAGTTCAGAATCGCCTAAACTTGATCAACATAAAAACCACCCTAAATTTGCCAATGGCGTAAAAATCCTAAATGGACAATTAATACCATTCTGAACTCTTTTCTACGCTAAATTAAAGACGCTTTGGGTGCCCAATGAGGATACACACGATATTGTGGAGCAGTTCTACAACTACAACCATTTCTACTTTGAGTAACTAAGGGTATTTTATTTTACAACGCACTCACCAACGCCCTATTTAAAAAATGAAATATCTAAAACATGTAGGTGATCAGATTAATATCCACGTAGTACATCGGGAACAAGTACACCTGGAATTTAAACATGTTGCTTAAAATTATTTATTCTTTTTACCCTTTAACTTGGAGTTTGGTTTTTTCTACGTTTCAGTATTTGTTGCTCAATGTAATCGGTTTGACACAAAGCCAGGCCGCTTTTGTGAATGAGCACAATTATATATTAAAATCAATTATAATAGTAATTAAATTGTTCAATGTTAAAAGTAATCCTATTGTTCCATTAAAATAGTTATCCTATTGTTCAATGTAAAAAGTAATCACATTGTTCAATGTAAATAGTATTCCCTTTGTTTAATGTCAAAAGTAATCCCATCGTTTAATGTACAAGGTAACCAAATTGTTCAATGTAAAAAGTAATCACATTGTTCAATATGAATAGCAATCCTTTTGTTCAATGTAAACAGTAATCCCATTGTTCAATATAAATAGCAATCGCGTTGTTTTGTTTGGTCGAGCCATGAAATATACACACAAAAAGGCAAGCATAGAAAGCTAATGTATTATTTAGCTGACATGTTTTGTTGTTTATACTTCTATTTTGTCTCGTTCACATTTAAAGACATAGAGCTTGGTTATAGACATGGGGAGCTCGTCCATACATAATGTATCGTTTACAAGTTGAACAATATACTTACATATGTACATATCATGTAAATCATGGCCCTAATATATACTTACTTTATACTACGGGAATTGTTCTTAAGCAAACGATATACTTTGCTATATGACTAGTTTTGTTTGTTTGACTCCCGAGCACTTTGGTTATCGAGCAGGCGAGTATGACTTATTTACTAATATATGTGTTATGTATGTCTGTTTAGTTTTACTAATTCAGAGGAATCACGTTTGTGCTTAGGTAAATGAAACTATCTTTGTTTGGTGACTCTGAATAGCTCACGTACATCAGGGACGAGACCCAGTATTTCTTCATAACTAATTATTTGATTTCCATCAAACTTCACCATTTTATTTCGTAATGTACAAAGATTACTTTATTTCAACATGTTAAATAGTTTAGGGTTCCTTTAAGGGTTGTACTTCAGGTATAGGTTTGTGGGTGTAGACTACAAGTTTACGCTCAAGCTTTAGCAGTTTCATTGTACCGGTTTGTCAACCAACTCGTCATCAGCGAGTCCAGGTATAAATCCAGTATTAACACATATTATCTAGTTTAAAGGGACATCCCGTTTCAAATGTCCAGTTTGACCACTTGAATTGTTCGGGAATGCCTTGTTAAAAAAGTGCCAAAACGTCATGTGACGGTTTTGAAACGATGCAGTAAACACAGGTGGTCTGACCGAGATGCAAAGTTTCCAAAGTGGCCTTCAGTAAGGGGCCGTCAGGCAGCTGCAACCTCTTACCGGACTATGAAACCATGGAATATGATTTCACAGTCCGTGTTGAAACTTATTGAATCCTCTTAGCAGTAATTATTCATCATCAAAAGTTAATTGCACACATGCCATTACTCAAAATTAAAATGTAGAAATATGTGTTGACCTATCGGCATTATTTATAGACACCAGGAAATATCTATTACCGGAATGTGACCATAGTAAGCCATATAAGCCATCACACACAATAAACATTTCTGACAAAACCACTACATGTACATGTAGAATAAGTGTCGGATATGGAACATGTTGAGATACTTGATAGTTATATGTTTTCAATACTTTACAGAGATTAAAGCATACTTATTAATAGACCCATTATTATGTTAAGATAACTTTTCTTTAATCAGTTCCTTTTGTCCGAAACAAAAGCCGTAGTTATCGGTTGCACGCCCCATTTTTATAACGTAAACAAATGATTTTTTTCCCCCGTTTTCAATGCGTATTCCGATTCTATATAAAGTCGAAAATTAATTGTTTATAGACAAAGTTGTTGCATAATCATACATTCTAAGTCAACATCATGAAAACATGAACTTTGGAAACATTACGATTAAAAAAGTCATTTTTGTTATGCGATCATATTTACTATAAGTAGGTTCTCATTCCTCAGTTATTCATCTTGAACCGTCATTTTGATATATTTAAATCTTGCATGTGAAAAAAAAATGTTTACTTCAGCAATATAATTAAATCATACCATTTTACTGAACCGGGATTGTTGTAAATTATGTTAATCTTATAGCGCATGTTTCTCATTTGACCCCGAATACCGACAGCGGACCCCGGAGAGGACATCACAACATATACAGTTACCCCTTGGAGGGACCCATAGCAAAATCAAACTAACCAGTCACTTTTTCCTTCCACAGGCATAAACTACGGTATATAGAAACGCAAAGTAAACGCTCTCCGATACATGCCCATAACATAACAAAATAAGTTTAATTTGTTTTCCAACTTAAACAAAGATACTAGCGAGGTTAATATTTTCAGATATTTATTCATAACATAAACAGCATTTCTGTTGATTCCATTTCAGCTTTATACAGGCTATCCGGCACCGTACTAACTGCTAGGGCAGTTCATTTCTTCTTGAATACTTCCCACCTGCTAAAATGTTTTCGTAACGTAATCCTTGCGCTATCTTTTGACCATTTGGCAGCTTTTCACCTCGTAGCTGACGCGGTCACGATTTTCACTCACTAACTTCCCACGGCCATTTTGTTTACAATGAAATGGTGTGCTATGCGCATGCGCTAGAAGAGGGAAATCCTTGACCAAACATTGGTCAGAAAGGTAGAAATCCTGAAAAAAACGAAAATAAAATATTCTTCGCCTTGATGTCCCTTTAAACCTTACCCTAAAAACAGGTGATAAATATGTTCAGAGTAATCATAATTTCAACTCATTTCTCACACTAATTAAACAATTTTTAATAACATGAATCTTATAATACAAATGGCAAGAAAGAATGACTTCGGTACTTCCTAATGATATAAAATGGATGTATGTTTGATTAATAAAAACGGGATGATACACGAAATACCATTGTCTTGTCTGTACAGCATTAATTTTATTGAAGGGAGACAACTCGGTAAGATTAATGAATAAACCAACACCAATACAAATACTAAGGGCTTTACTCTAACAGTAATTTATGTCAAGGAAATATCCCTTAGTTGTGGAACTATTACTTTCTAGAATAAAACTCTATGTACTAAGAGCAGCGCTCTTAATGAAGACGAGTGTGTTATACATATACTAAAAGACTACTATAATGGGACACCACTCGAAGAACTAAGAGCCGAACATTTTAAGTAAGATGAATGTTTATTCTAGCTAAGACAATACTTAGTCAGGCTTACCAGGTTCCTGCACTTATATTCCAACAAGGAAGCAATGCGAGAGTCTTGTAAGCATCATAAAAAATGTCTGGTACCGGTGAAACGGAGATACCGAATCCATGCGCGCTCACCACTAACACATAAATGGTTCACAATTGACTGAAATAGTCATAGCACTTATCACAAACTTAAACTAAAATTCCATAGAACAATGTCTATAACGTGCCTTATACAGACCTTGATGCCAAATGAGACGTTAGCAGCGGCACGCAAACAAGCAATTGCCAAGGTGAATGAATTCCCGTATATGGACGTGAACGTGAATTGCCCCCCCCCTTAAATGTTTCCTTTTTCTTTTATAATAAATAACGGCAAAATCCTTATTTTTGAAAAATATGTAATGATACAAAAAATATTAAAATATCATTAATTATTCATATATTTGAAATCAACTCAAATCAAATCAACGTGTGACTTTTACAGGACGGGACTATCCAGTGTGACGTTTACAGAACGGGACTGTACATTTTGTGACGATAACAGGACGGGACTGTTCATTTTGTGACGATTACAGGACGGGACTGTTCATTTTGTGACGATTACAGGACGGGACTGTACATTTTGTGACTATTACAGGACGGGACTGTACATTTTGTGACGATTACAGGACGGGACTGTACATTGTGTGACGATAACAGGACGGGACTGTACATTTTGTGACGATTACAGGACGGGACTGTACATTTTGTGACGATTACAGGACAGGACTGTTCACTTTGTGACGATTACAGGACGGGACTGTACATTTTGTGACGATAACAGGACGGGACTGTACATTGTGTGACTATTACAGGACGGAACTGTTCATTTTGTGACGATTACAAGACGGGACTGTACATTGTGTGACGATAATAGGACGGGACTGTACATTTTGTGACGATAACAGGACGGGACTGTACATTCTGTGACTATTACAGGACGGGACTGTACATTCTGTGACGATTACAGGACGGGACTGTACATTGTGTGACGATAACAGGACGGAACTGTACATTATGACAATTTCAGGACGAAACTGTACAGTGTGACAATTACAGAACAGGACTATACATTGTGATGATAACAAGACGGGACAGTACAATCTTAATTAAACTCGGTTTGAATACTGTCATTGGTACCCCTGTACGTGCAACTTTTCAAAAGTTGGTCACCGGCATCCGTTTTACATTTTTTTACCCTTTGATCTAACTAACTTTACTTTTAATGGAATGACGAATAACTGTCCAAATAGTTCAGATTACAGCTTGCTTCTCTCTATGCAGCTATTTTTAGCTCGCGTGCCCTGATACACTCGTGCAATATTGACAAGCAATAACCCTCACACATCAAAGCCGCCAGCTTTACTAAATTATTGCATAATTTAATAATTCATTTCTGAAGATACGGTGTGTATCTTCAAATACAAATTATTAAATTATGCAAGTAGTTTAACGAACTCATATTTAGAAGTTGGTTTAAACTACTATTTTACAATAAATATCTGTATATTTTTTTGCATTTAAATAATGAACGAGAAAGGAGTACGCGTTTTCCTGTGGCATGAAAGAAATAAGTCTCACACATCAAAGCCATCATCTTAAATCATTTATTTTGAAAGCACCGTAATTTCGGAGCTTAATGATTAAACATTGCAAGCTCATATTAGGAAGATGGCTAGAAATACTATTTTAGAATAAATATATATGACGACGTTTTTGAATTTAAATAATGAACAAGAAGGGAGTATGTATTCTCATGGGATTGGAAAAAATAACCCCCAAACACCATAGCCCCCATTTGAACTTGTTTTTTTTCTGAAAATACCGTATTTTCAGAGCTAAATTCTTAAATTTTGCAAGTATCTTAATGAGCTCATATTTAGAAAATTTTCAAAATTATATGTACTGTTTCAATTTACTATAGGATTGGGCATAAATATAAAAGCTCTTTCTATATAGAAAGACAAACATTTGAAAAATATACTGCCTGTAAATTGAAGATGTAATATATTAAATTTAGGTAGATACAACGCAGGGTCGGTTTAACCAATAAGCCAGTTATATATATATATACATATAGATTGGCAGTCTAATTGGAATATCAGGATTTTGACAGGGTAGCTCAAGTGTTTGGTTAGGCACTGCAAAGTCACTGTCCCTACATACAGTGCCATATCAACCAAATACATTAGAAGTACACGAAATTAATGATACATGATATAATACGTGGTACAATTTAGTTAGAATCTTTCAGATTTGTCAAAAGAAGCCATGACACAAGAGAGAATAAACACATTTGTTTCTATACTTAAATTCATATATTCCATTTGGAGGAAATTAGTATCTAATATGATTCTGTCAATTTTCATTAGATAATGAATTGAATGAAATTTGTCTTTCATCAACATATCAAGGGCAAGTTAGGAAGAAGTGACCTACATGTTCTATCAAATTACCACAAGCACAATTTGGGTTATCAGTTAGATGATCATTAGATAAGTCTGAGTTAAGTTGACTCACATTATTCCTCAGTAGAAATGATATTATATTTAATTTCCTAGATCAACCATATTCAAAAATGTCAGTACAGTTTGATGGTTGTATATATTGCTTACAAATCATTTCTAGAGACTTTCTATTAAGATTTTGTTTAAGCATTCGTACTATCTGAAGTTTTGTACTATTTTGTTGTCATACATGCAATTAACATGATCTGACCATGAACCATGGGTGTTAAAAACAAAAAATAACATAACTATTAGAGAATATATAGTCTGGTTGAGCTGACTCAGGGTTATTTATTTAGATATTTATAATGATCTGTTTTGTTTGTGTTAAATATTATACCCCATTTATCTGCCGAAGAGTCATTTTCCTAAGATTTTCCTTACGAATATCTGCAGCATGCCTACCATCATTATCTATAAAAACATAAAGAGAAGCGTCATCAGCAAAACGTTTGACATCGGAGAGTGGTCATCTTCAGGGTCATTGATAGATATTAAAAATAAGAGAACCGACCATTGTGATACTCAATAAACAAGACTTAATACATCTAATCATACTCTCTGTGGCATATTAGTTAAACAACACTGAATCCAGTTAAGAAAATCCTCAGGAATTCTTCAGCTTTTCAATTTATAAATCTAGCCACTGTGCAACACCCTGTCAAACGCTTTGCTGATATCATAACATAGAATCCTGGCTTCTTTTTCTCTATCATGTGATAAAAAAAAGATATTTAAAAACAATATTTTCGAGCATTTTAATAAAAAGAGATATAACAGAAATAGGTCTATAATTGCTGGGGTCACATCTTTATCCCTTGCCATAACATACTGTGGTTACCTTAAAAATAACCTTTTTAAACACATCTTAATTTTATTATTCCTTATTCTTGGAATACGTTAGTTTGCTTTGTAGATGTCAATATTGTTTCTAACGTGGCATCAATATTAACGTAGACAGTTGCAGTGTATATATACCAACTACTTTTATCACACATTTTACATTTGTATGCCGTGTATATATACCAACTACTTTTATCACACATATTACATTTGTATACAGTATATATATGCCAATTGAAACGGACGTTTTCACGTGCCTCTGATCATACTCATATATTCTCGTATGTTATGTTACATGCAATAAGCTTTTGTATTGAATGTACTCGTACACCTGTGTATTTATGTTATCCTATATAAATTCACCTTCGAGGTAAACATCACATGGCCATTATACTGACCACTTTTTTCCATACCTCTTTAATCTAGAACCAGCCACCTTTCAAGCTTCAACTCTATTTCTGGCCGTATCGGCCTACTCTACGAGCAAACTCCTCCATTATTAAATGCATAAGAAAATTATCTGTCCTTCAGATCCATCTATCGTTTTCGAAAACCAAATGTTTGTATTTCTTTTTCCTTAGCCCTTCCTATCCATCTTATGTACAGTACCAAGCAACCTTAATCGATCCACCAGCCAAAGCCAGACATAATCATGTATGCTCTACAATTATGTATCGTTTAATGTTCCATTCCAACACACTTTTTATTCTTATTACAGGTTTTAAATAATGCAAAGCTGCCTCAACATATATCGTGCTCCGCTAGGAGCGTTCAGCCAACACTGTCAATCTGTCAAGTTTAGAATATTTATTAATGTGCACGGTATATTCTGTATTAGTCTTGTGTATATTTTGTCCCATATTGATGAATATATACCCTTTTGTATTAAAATCTATATGATGAAACTATACTTGTCAGGTGATATAGAATGTAACACTGGTCCAATAACAAATACCACAGGTTCCTTTTTAGTATTTGATATAAGTGACTTGTTAGAAAGTAATAAATATTCTTTTGTTCATCAAAATGTACAAAGTTTTAAGCAGAAGCTTGATATTCTTCATACTGAATTATTTCGTCATACAGTTTTATCCTTCAACGAGACATTGCTATCACCTGTCGATGTAGATTTCCCGATCTAAGCCTGTCTGGAGGTGGTGTTTTTGTAAACGTTATAAACTATATACCAGATTAAAAATTTCTGTACGGTACTTTTTACCACCCTCCGAGCTCTTACTACTGTACATTCTTTTCGGACCATATTGCTCAGTTGACAGATTTGGCGCATAATTCTGAAATATCCAATGATTAAGAGACATATAATGGTTGTTTAATCAAGGAAATTACAACCTATATTGACAAAAACTTTCTCTTATCGACTTCGACAATCTGAGCTGAAGCATTGAACTGTTTTTGACTTGCAGTGTTTTATTTTCTGCAACAAAATGTGGCTGCGACGGTCAGATACCATACATACCCTAACCTTGGAGTAGGCTTTCTCTCCCTTGCTGCAAGATCTCCAAATTTTGTAAATGTCCTTTTTACATAGTTCTGGAACACGACAGCAAATCTACAAGCATCTATATAATATAGAGCAACAAAATCAAACCCATTGTTCTACCCAGGCCTTTCCTGACTCCTCAGATCTAGGCATTCCCTGGTCTCTCTCTACATCAAAACCTCAAATACCAACTCTCAACTCTCAACTCCGACTCTAGACTCCTTCAAAAATTCTTTCTCCAGAACGTGCAGCAATTTAATCTAACTCATAAGCTAACTTTCCCTTCATCTACCGGAACAACAATAATAGATGTACCATATGGCAATGACAGTTACCCCCGTCTGTTTATCTGGCCGCCACTAGATGGATATCCCTATAATACTATCTTCAATTCCTAAGTTCCCTGTCGATCAATATACGGTGTTACCCAAATCGTAAGATTTGACCTCGATCTTACTTTTGAACAAATCGCTGCTCTCTATTGATTACCACTTTATTACATGTTATTCGGTGATTTTATTCTTTATCATTAATAACTAATTATCGGCCCCCATTTTGTTACACTCCACCAAAAAATATATAACAATCTTGAATGTAAATTCGGTATCCAGGTCGTTGTTTTGTTCTCACAATAATCTTAAGCTCCACACGTATTTAGTATATGTAAATGTTTTGTTCCGTATACGTATCTTCAGTCGGGAGAATAGTTGTTCCCCTTTGCATAGATCACGTGACCTACCTTTTACTGGGTGTCACTACACTGAAGGAAATCGAAGAACTGTTTCATTAAAGGAGAGGGGCGAATCATAATTTCCAACCTAATCAGCATTTGGCTAAGATAAAGGTATGTCCTATATATTATCAATATGTAATTGATTTGAGATTTCTAACAACAAGGAAGGTTCTTAGTTATCTAATGTTATGTCTTCACAAACCAAAAGCACTTTAAATTAGAAATGTGTACCAAAGTTCACTAGGCCACTAATGTTTTTACAGAAAACTTTAATACTGTCTAAAGAATATGGTTACATGGGTTTCGAACGGCTGTGTATTTGATTTATATCTTTACTTTGAGTGGATGGCTAATAAATCCTGAATCAAAATGAATTAGAGTATACTCGGAAGGAAATAACCTATATTCGTTTAAATATTTGAGTTTTACTGAAGTGTGTATCAACATAACAAATTGTTCCAGGGGTTGCACTTGATGTATACATCCACGTCAACATACGGGCATTGTGAAATGTTTCACACTAATTCAAATGAACTGCATTTTTTAGATAAAGTACCAAAACAATACTTGGAAAGTTTAAAACGAAATTATAAAGTATTATACAAATTGCCCTCCTAAAGTAATAATAAATTTGAGTGGAGTAAATATTTAACGAATACACAATCGTAACGTCTCTTGGGGAATACAGTTTTCTTATGCGTCTCAACCAAAGAAAATAAGTTCTTAGTTGCTCATTATCCAGGATTTTAGATAATTACATCTGTAAGTATACATTAGCTATTATGCACATTTAATAAGTCGATAGAACGATGGCGTCACAATTTTAATTTAGTCTCTGTTAAGAATTACAATTCGTACACACGGACACGACACGATTTAAATTACCAAAAATTAATATATAAATTGGTTAAAACTGCTTTTTGTTTTTAATTTTACATATATACTAACACTGTAAGTGTATGCTAGGAAATTTTGGCCAAGTCAAACTTTCGCCCTTTTCTTATAAAATCCGAATAAGCACGACACTTTTATTTAATTATTTCGTTAAGTATGCTATAAACTAATATTTGCTGCCATGGCAAATTCGTCCTTATGAGGGAGGGGAAAGATACAGAGAATCAAATTGTGACGAACATTTTCTGGTAAACAGTAATTCTTTATTGTTAAAAAACAGAAAATACCATAGGATTATCCTTCAAATTTACAAGTTAATAACCTAAGATAACTCACTTTAACGTAATAAGACTTCGAACAACCAGATCAAGACAATAACTTCTTTTGTTATTAGCAAACAAGTTAGAGAAACCAATTAGCTATAAAGTATGTTGAGTCTGCGGGATACCAATTAGGGATACACATGTTTGGATACTATTAACTTTGGACTTGTATTTCGTTATAATATCTGGGTAGAAAAGTGAGATTCGATTACAAATACATATATTAATCTACAGTTTAATCAAAGCAATTGAGAGACTCAAGAACTGTATAGCAATAAAAAAAAATATAAACACATGTTTCTGTCAGTCATACAGAAAGTATATCAAGAGGAAAAACATTTCCAGTGAGATATCATACTGGAATTTCCTTTGGAATGTAAACTAGTATTTTTCGCCAGTGGTATTACTATAACAACATTCAACCTATTACAATTGAGATTACATGTACATCATTTTGTGATGAGTTATATCAAACTTTATTGTCTCTCAAAGTCAATAATTAATCAAGTCATGGATCATTTCCTTCTTACTTTCACAATTTATTCTGAAGTGTAGATACCCAAGTATTCACATTAATAACCAACACAAGTAACCAACATTGTCTATACTGAATACTTGGCATCAAGTAAGACAGTATTACATACTGCACACATACTGATAAAACGACATGGATATAAAATCACAAGGGGATTGTACACAAACGTTATCTTTAATGTTACCGAACATTAGATAGGACTTTTTTTCAGGTGTGTGCATACTTTATATAATATCAATTTTTATTATCTTATATACATCTTTAACAGTGGTGAATAACACGACATGGACAAGGTGTTTATGGCGACAATCAAACTCTCATACGATGTTTATGTACTTCTAAATGTAACGTGCGGGCGGGCACTCATCCAACTACTGATCACGCTCGACGTTGCTGAACTAGTGAGCGGGTCCTGGGTTATAACGCATCATTGGAAAAGCTAACTTGCCAGTAAGGCAGTATTTCCCCCTCATATACCTTATCTGTTACATAAAGATATACTTTATGTATGCTTAATAAGGTAAATATTTCTTTTCTTTAACACATGTTGTTTGCGCTTTCATTTTTGATGCCAATTATAACACAGCTAGACACGTTACAGCCTACTCATTCGGAATACCTTTATTTAATCCCTTTTATAGCATGGTTACAGCCTTTATGATATACTTCTTCAGAGTGCCTTCTAAGTTATTATATGATGAATATGATATCAAAAGGCCTTGACTTCTTGGGCTGATATTGGAACTCCCGGATTTTTGCCTGAGTCTTTGTTCAAGAAAGATTGGTATTTCAGTAACCAGTATTTAAGTAATTTTAATTTTTATGACACGAACTTTAAAATCATCACCATAATGATTGTTCGGTTTCTAAAAAAACAACAGCAACAAATAAGAGTAAACCTCGTATGATAGTATAACACACCAAAATTACCGTGCATGTTTCGTACATCAGGTAACATTGTGCGATCTTACAACTGTATTTGGATACTCTTTCAATAAAACGAATTTAGTATTTAACATGGGGAATATGGAAATAGTCACTTACTGAAGCAATCACAAACTTGTACCCATTTTTTCGAGTTATGCACATTTTTAAGTTCGGTTTTTATTTATTTATTTGTGTTATATAAAAATAGTATCAGTAACATAATATGTCCATAGTGTTATGGAAAGGGTGCTGTAGATATATTAAATTGACTTATTGGTTTCAATTTTACAGTCCTGCTACAAGTATGGCTTCAAGGAAGAAAAAAGACTACACGAAGGTGTTGTCAATTACAGAGTGTAATATCTGCCATTTTGAGTTATACGAACCTCGTCGGATAGAGTGTGGACACGTCTTCTGCCTCCATTGTCTAAGTCAACACGTAAGTTGTTCGTCTTCTTGTCCAACTTGCAAGCGACCTATGAAACCAAAATTAGGAAAGGTCGAAAACTACCCTGTTGCTATGGAAATAGTACACCTGCTGCAGTCTCTTCAAAAGGTTGCAAGTTGCGGCCATATAGCAGATGAAGAAAGTAGTACAAAAGAGGATGGAAAAGGCGAGGAAGATGCGTATCAATATGAGGTAGTTGATTCTGACCCAGATCAGGAGGAGACTAAGACGTTACCTCAACACTCAAAGTCTGTCATGTCGAACGAAGTGTGCGATATACATGGACAAAGAGTAGTTTCTGTTTGTACCACTTGTGATGATGAACTTATCTGCGCCAAATGCAGCATCCATTCTTCCCACAATAAACTGGAGATATCTAAACATAATAGGCATCTCAAGCGACTTCTCGAAAAACAAAGAGCGGATTTACTCCAACGGGAAAAAGGTGACGGAGCAGAAGAAAACCAGTTGCAGGAAATGATCGAAAAGCAAGTTGAACAAAGGGAAACCATTAAAGACGAGATAGAAGAAATTGCCGAGGAAATGTTTACACAAATTCATATGAAAAAGGAAGAAATGCTTCGACCTATTGAGGAAAAAGCAGATGAATACGTCAGAAAACTTACAGAGTGGCAGGAGGATATCAAAGACAGGATATCTGAGTTCAGACACATCAGCAATAGGATTGGAAAACTTTCACATGATGACACACCAGACTACAGCAGAAAAGCAAAAAGATTGGTTAAACAAGCAAACATTGCACTCCAGATAGAAAACAAACCTGTACCACGTTACCAGAATATTGAGTTCACCAAGAATGACAAAGTCCTAGAAGATATGTCAGAACTTCAGTTAGGTGATGTAAAGATAGATGAAGTATCAATAGCGCAGGACGAGAAGAGTACAGCGTCCGATTTCATTTATGATCAAGAGGATCAGTACATGCCTTTTGAAATGACACCATTAGCTGCTGCCAAACCTAAAGAGGAAAAAGTTGCAAATCCAAATGCCAAAAAAGAAGAAGATCCTTATTACAGGCCGCCTCATTGTACTCGCCCACCACTTCCTCCAAAACCTCAATATCAAAATACCTCACAGGAAAATAAAGAAGACATAATCTACTATAACCTGAATGAAAACACATACGAAGATGCATGTACTACAAGAAAGCAAAGCTGTGATACGGAGCCACCCGAAGAGAAAGACGAGATTCAGGATGGTCATTATAATCCACCTCCCCTATCTCCGTTTTCAGGAACTTTTCGAAAATCTGTCTCAATAGCAATCGACATCCCCGCATTTCCACAGAGATTGCTTCACCGTGTATTTCTCCCCTTTCGACCTTCGGGGTTCACGGTTGTCCGAGGTTCTGTAGAAAACTACTTTACATTTGTCACCGAAAATTCCAATGTGAAAATGTTTAGACAGACTGGAGACTTCTATAGGACAATCACAGATCTCGTCCAGCCGTTTGATGTTGCAAGCCAACAACACGGAGAGTCATCGACGCCATTGTACATAACAGATGAAGGTAAATGATAACAACTTTCTGGTCGGAATATTAATACAAAACAAAATGTAGTTTTGTAACAATAATCGACAACAATAATAAGTGTTGTTGTGTCATGAATTTATATATGACCAAACCAAAACACAAACACATTTTGTTGTTCGTCTGTAACAATTAATAATGATACTGATAGATAAACAAAATGGAAATGGAAACATTCAATGAAAGTTAACTAAAATCGGAACAACACAATTTTGTAAGATATGTGAACTGGATTATGCAAGAAATCTGTCGCTTGAGAAGTCAAATAACAGGTGGATATCTCGTCTTACGATAACAGATGTTGTAACATATACTTTCTTTTAATTCTCGATTGGAAAACAGGTTATGATGGTAAATGGTAGCCAGTACCACACAAGTTAAAACGGATACCGTTGCATTAATAAGTCATTACTGTATATAAGACAATCCAAATTTCTAATGGAATACATTTCTATCCATCTTATTGAACTGATAGATTATTTTATTTTAGGACGAAGGACAGGAGATGGAAGTATCAGAGTGTATACCTCCGAGGGAGAATTCCAGAAAATGTTGGTTGGAAAGCTCAAGAAACCACAAGGAATTTCCATATCACGAGTGGGACTCGTTTACGTATGTGACGAAGCAAATATCCTTGTGTTTTGTCCAAAAACGGGGAAAAGGAAGAGGATCATTTCTACCATCGGGAAAAATCCAATTTTTAAACACCCTTTGTATGTGATGGTGAGCGCCACTGGGAAGATTCTAGTCTCCGATGTGGGCACCAGGGAGCTCAAAATTCATGACGAAACCCGAAAGTACACCGATAAATTCAAACCAGATGAGGACGAAGGGGAGCTTTACACAAGCTTTACTCCTGCAATGTGCGCCGAGGATTCCTCTTCGAATTACTACGTCATCGACCAGGAGAGAAACATACTATATATATTGCGCGGTGGGGGGAGGTCAGAGAAGCTGGTGCTACCACAAAAACCTCAGGGGCACGATGGAATACCAACAGCTGTTTCCTTTGCCAACGATACGGGCAACATTGTCGTGTTTTAGATAAACGGAAACAGGGTAATGTTTTGATAAAACAAACTTATTGCTGTACACACTCAAACAACGCAACACTACGTTAATCAACATTATACCACAACGTCGATCGTTAATTGACCTTTATGTAGTCCTGCTTTGTTATCAACCAAACACTTGTTGGATGAACTAGATAAAAGAGTTCAGAATCGCCTGAACTTGATCAACATAAAAACCACCCTAAATTTGCCAATGGCGTAAAAATCCTAAATGGACAATTAATACCATTCTGAACTCTTTTCTACGCTAAATTAAAGACGCTTTGGGTGCCCAATGAGGATACACACGATATTGTGGAGCAGTTCTACAACTACCACCATTTCTACTTTGAGTAACTAAGGGTATTTTATTTTACAACGGACTCACCAACACCCTATTTAAAAAATGAAATATCTAAAACATGTAGGTGATCAAATCGATATCCACGTAGTACATAGGGAACAAGTACACCTGGAATTTAAACATGTTGCTTAAAATTATTTATTCTATTTACCCTTTAACTTGGAGTTTAGTTTTTTCTACGTTTCAGTATTTGTTGCTCAATGTAATCGGTTTGACACAAAGCCAGACAGCATTGATGAATGAACACAATTATATATTAAAATCAATTATAATAGTAATTATATTGTTCAATGTTAAAAGTAATCCCATTGTTCAATGTAAATAGTTATCCTATTGTTCAATGTAAAAAGTAATCCAATTGTTCAATATAAATAGTAATCACATTGTTCAATGTAAATAGTATTCCCTTTGTTTAATGTCAAAAGTAATCCCATCGTTCAATAAAAATAGTAATCCCGTTGTTTTGTTTGGCCGAGACGTGAAAGATACACACAAAAAGGCAAGCATAGAAAGCTAATGTATTATTTAGCTGACATGTTTTGTTGTTTATACTTCTATTTTGTCTCGTTCACATTTAAAGACATAGAGCTTGGTTATAGACATGGGGAGCTCGTCCATACATAATGTATCGTTTACAAGTTGAACAATATACTTACATATGTACATATCATGTAAATCATGGCCCTAATATATACTTACTTTATACTACGGGAATTGTTCTTAAGCATACGATATACTTTGCTATATGACTAGTTTTGTTTGTTTGACTCTCGAGTACTTTAGTTATCGAGCAGGCGAGTATGACTTATTTACTAATATATGTGTTATGTATGTCTGTTTAGTTTTACTAATTCAGAGGAATCACGTTTGTGCTTAGGTAGATGAAACTATCTTTGTTTGGTGACTCTGAATAGCTCACGTACATTAGGGACGAGACCCAGTATTTCTTCATAACTAATTATTTGATTTCCACCAAACTTCTCCATTTTATTTCGTAATGTACAAAGATTACTTTATTTCAACATGTTAAATAGTTTAGGGTTCCTTTAAGGGTTGTACTTCAGGTATAGGTTTGTGGTGTAGACTACACGTTTACGCTCAAGCTTTAGCAGTTTCATTGTACCGGTTTGTCAACCAACTCGTCATCAACGACTCCACGTAAAACTCCGGTATTAACACATATTATCGAGTTTAAAGGGACATCACGTGAAGAGACATATTTTTTAATGAATGTATGTGTTGTATGCACTTACACTTATTTTACCTTGCTATCCCAATATTCATAGGCCGTTCCAAATGTCCAGTTTGACCACTTGAATTGTTCGGGAATGCCCTGTTAAAAAAGTGCCAAAACGTCATGTGACGGTTTTGAAACGATGCAGTAAACACAGGTGGTCTGACCGAGATGCAAAGTTTCCAAAGGGGCCTTCAGTAAGGGGCCGTCAGGCAACTGCAACCTCTTACCGGACTATGAAACCAAGTAATATGATTTCCAAGTCCGTGTTGAAACTTATTTAATCCCCTTAGCAGTAATCATTTATCCTCAAAAGTTAATTGCTCACATGCTATTACTCAAAATTTAAATGTAGAAATATTTGTTAGCCTCTTGGGATTATTTACAGACACCAGGAAATATATTTTACCGGAATGTGACCTTAATAAGTCATATAACAATACAATTATATGTCGGATATGGAATGTGTTGAGATAAAAAAAAAAGTTTTTTTTCCCCGTTTTCAATGCGTAATCCGTTTCTATCTGAAGACGAAAATGAACTATTTATAGACAAAAGTTGTTGCGTGATCATACACTCTGAGTCAACATCATGTGAAAACATGAACTGTTGAAACATTACGATCAAAAAAGTATTTTTTGTTATGCGATCCTATTTACTATAAGTAGGTTTTCATTCCTCAGTTATTTGTTGGTCAGAAAGGTAGAAACCCCAAAAAAATGTAGAGAAAAAAATGCTTCGCCTTTTTGTCCCTTTAAACTTTACCCTAAAAACAGGTGATAATTATTCACAAATGTCAGAGTAATCAAAATTTCAACTCATTTCTCACACTTATTTAACAATATTTAACAACATGAAACTTATAATACAAATGGCAAGAAAGAATGACTTCGGTACTTCTTAATAATATAAAATGTATGTGTGATTGATTAATAAAAACGGGATGACACAAGAAATACCATTTTCTTGTCTGTACAGCATTAATTTTATTGAAGGGAGACAATTCGGTAAGATAAATGAATAAACCAACACTTATACAAATACTAAGGGCTTTAATTGATCTAAAACGTAAATGGATGACAAATGACTGAAATAGTCATAGCAAGTATCACAAACATATAATCGAACCATAAATAGCATAGAACAATGTCTATAACGCACCTAATAGCGAATTAGAATATTTTGTCGAATGAGAAGCTAACAGCGGCACGCAAACAAACAATAGCCATCGTGAATCAATTTGATCAGACTAGGATGAGTATTGATAATATCGGCTTCATATATATTTATGCAGCTTCCATCGGTATCCCAAAAAAGTGTTTTTGGATTTCAAACATTTTTGGTCTCTTGCAACATCAATTAGTCTTAGAAGGACGAAACCGCTGTATGATGCGGTGTTACTCATTCTTTGGATTCTGAATCAATTACAGGTGACATCAACTGTGTGTGTGTGTGTGTGACATCGACTCTGTGTGTGTGTGCGTGTGTTTGTGTGTGTGTGTGTGTGTGACATCACCTGTGTGTGTGTGTGTTTGTGTGTGTGACATCGACTGTGTGTGTGTATGTGTGTGTGTATGTGTGTGTGACATCGATTGTGTGTGTGTGTGTATGTGTCTGTTACATCGACTCTGTGCGTGTGTGTGTGTGTGTGTGTGTGTGCGTGTGTGACATCGACTCTGTGTGTGTGTGTTACGTCGACTCTGTGTGTGTGTGTGTGTGTGTTACATGGAGTGTGTGTGTGTGTGTGTGTTGGTGTGTGTGTGTGTGTGTGACATCACCTGTGTGTGTGTGTGACATTACCTGTGTGTGTGACATCACGTGTGTGTGTGTGTGTGACATCACCTGNTGTGTGTGTGACATCACCTGTGTGTGTTTGTGTGTGTGTGTGACATCGACTCTGTGTGTGTGTGTGTATGTGTGTGTGTGTGTGTGTATTACATCGACTGTGTGTGTGTGTGTGTTGGTGTGTGTGTGTGTGTGACATCAGCTGTGTGTGTGTGTGTGACATCACCTGTTTGTGTGTTTGTGTGTGTGTATGACATCGACTCTGTGTGTGTGTGTTAGTGTGTGTATGTGTGTGTGTGTATTACATCGACTCTGTGTGTGTGTGTGTTGTGGTGTGTGTGCGTGTGTGACATCGACTCTGTGTGTGTGTTTGTGTGTGACATCGACTCTGTGTGTGTGTGTTAGTGTGTGTATATGTGTGTGTGTATTACATCGACTCTGTGTGTGTGTGACATCACGTGTGTGTGTGTGACATCACGTGTGTGTGTGTGTGTATGTGTGTGTGTGACATCACCTGTGTATGTGTGTGTGACATCACCTGTGTGTGTGTTTGTGTGTGTGTGTGGCATCGACTCTGTCTGTGTGTGTGTGTGTGTGTGTGTTACATCGACTCTGTGTGTGTGTGTGTGTGTGTATGTGTGTGTGACATCGACTCTGTGTGTGTGTGTGTGTGTGTGTGTGACATCGACTCTGTGTGTGTGTTTGTGTGTGACATCGACTCTGTGTGTGTGTGTGTGTTACATCGACTGTGTGTGTGTGTGTGTTTGTGTGTGTGTGTTTGTGTGTGTGTGTGTGTGTGTGAGAGTGTGTGTGTGTGTGACATCACGTGTGTGTGTGTGTGAGACATTACCTGTGTGTGTGACATCACGTGTGTGTGTGTGTGTGTGTGTGACATCACCTGTGTGTGTGTATGTGTGTGTGTGTGTGTGTGACATCACCTGTCTCTCTGTGTGTGTGTGTGTGTGTGTATGTGTGTGTGTATGTGACATCACCTCTGTGTGTGTGTTTTTTTGACATCACATGTGTGTTCGTGACATCACCTGTGTGTGTGTGTGTGTGTGTGTGTGTGACATCACCTCTGTGTGAAACATTTGTCCTTCAACATCACCATCACAATGGATTGTAAAACGTTTTTCACATATAATCACGATTGAGTAGCGAAAATTCTTATTATAACTTGTTTCTCATTATACAGGTTTATTTAGCTTTTGAAAGTATTAAAATGAGGTCATAAATTGTCATTAAATAACCAGTCGATCTCATCTTTTATATTTCAAAACCCAATCCAAGTTCCGTTATTTCTGAAATTTTCTGCTGATTATGAAACGTAAATAAACGGGGTCAACTCAACCGACGGATCAGCTGATCGATCGGAAAGTGACCACTCAACAACCTATCTTTCTGATTTGATACAATGCCGTTCAGATATAATATAAAAACATTTTATATATAATATATTTTTACTTAATGTTTTCCATTGGTGAATTTTAAAACAAATGACATGACCATTTATTCGTACAATATATCTGTTGTTTAAAGTTGGATAAAAGTTAATAAGATTCCCAATCAGATCAGCGATCGTTAACTGCTCGGCCATAATCAACGAATGGCCACCTATATCTGGACTATGTTCATCATTTAGTAAAGTAAGTTTCTTTTGATAATCTTGTTACCAAATCCTTCATGATGATATATTTTGATACTCCTTATGAACAATACATGTCGCGAAATTGGCAAGCGAAAATGTTCTGTTGGCATTTTCAATCAGTAATATAGAAGTCCTTAACTGTACCGTACGTTTTAGTGGCAAATGTCGATGAAATTCTAGCGAACAAAAAAGTCTTTCCAGCCGAGGAGAGAATGTAAATTCTCGCTTTATTCACCGAACGTCTTTGGAACTTTGGAATACCAGTACAGTCAGGCATTTATTCTAAATCAATAGCATCTCCCAAACAACATCGCAATCATCGTTATGAATGAGTTGTCTTTGTGCGTTTAATCCTATTGATATCGTATACTTTGTGCGGTTTGAAATTCTTACTGCGGTACCCTCTCAATGCCTGCATACTGTCATTGAACATGATTATTTTTATTTTAATCCAACTGTGAATAGATCTCTCATAAAATTACTGATAAATGATACTTATAATTCTTGCGATA